AACTGCTGGTGGTAACAAATTATGAAATGGGAGAATGTGCTCGAGAACTTCCCACTCGGCTTCATTCGGCAGAGGAAATATAGTCTCGGCATATGCTGTTCTCCAAGACTCAGTCGTATAATACAAAGAGCATAACGTTCTCGCAGCAAAGCCTCGATACATGGCCACCGCAACTGCATGCTCACATATAAAACTCTCCAACTGAAATCTCGTACAAATGCATGTGTTATCAGTCAAGTCCACCATATATGCCGTATTACGTGCACATTGCACGGAGAAGCGAAACTCATCTAGTGCTTCCATATTCAACTTCCTCGCAACCTCTGTCGTCTTAAACAGTTTATCGGTACTCTCTACGAACGTCATTAATGATGTCCGAAGGTCTTAGATCGTTCGTGGATCCTAATACTTGTGCATTATCTGTCGACCAATAAACCATGCTCGAGCTTACCTGTGATCGTTTCGAAGAATTCCCACTTCGCAAGTATATTCCCGTGAATACTTGCGAATTACGAAGCACTCATTCGTGTCCATCTTAGTTGCTCTCAAGCGCCAATTGCAACTGTTTTCGACGCAAGCAACTGTCAACAATGACTTGTTTGATTTCTTTACCTTGAACTCAAAGTTATATTTTAATGCCAGCCGGTGCACAGCTTCCTGTAAATCTTTCTTGGTTTCAAACAGTTGCTCGACCTACAAGTCCTCATCATCGGGAGCCACACGGGAAGAATTGGAGGACGGTCCACTTGTTCCAACCTGTGAGCTCCCACCCGGCTCGTGTCTCTGTCGGGATAAAGCAATCAAATTCTCATTTGTAAACTCGTTTATATTCTCATTGTCTTCAACTGTCGACGGAATTCTGCGCGTAACAGCGACATCACAATCAAAAGCAACTGTCTCAGGAATACCCACATCATCCGCAGGAACTATCTCCACTGTCTCCCAAAAACCTCGATCATTGTTATCCGCCCTATCTGAATCTTCGCGTTCACCTCCGACAACATCCTTCGTAATTAAAGTCACACCAAGAACAGTCGGAGTCCGATGCATTTTATTCAATTCTAATAGATAATTCAATTCAGCATCATTAGTAACGAGTACCGGTGGCATCGGAATGGATGAATCCCCATAACCGTTGAATAGATATCTCAATTGCATATCGTATTGAGATTAATCGACATTCAGCTTATTTTAAAATCGTGGTACATTTCTAAGTATGGTGTACTCTCTGTTATGGGAATTGCAATACAACCACGTATGTCACTCGTCCATCTCCATTCCTACCGATTATTTTCATTCAATTCGAAATCACCAAAATAACACACGGGGATTATCATATCTGCATGAGGAAATGGTATTAATCAACTTCATTTATTAATTATAAGAAAAAGGCCAACAAAAAAATCAGTGCAGAGTTGGGTAATTGGCTGTTTAACAGCCAAAACAGCCAGTTTGCCTATTTTTGCGCAGGAGAATACGGTTCTAAAGTTATACATCTGTTCAATTTTTTTGATAGGTAAGATCTGTTAAAAAAAATTTATGCTAACTACTATATCGACATAAAATTTTTCTATTCAAACGTATACTAATTTACTGAAAACGAAATTAAACATGCGTAAATGTACTTACCGATTTGAAGTAATTGATATGAAAAAAATTTCCGACTTCAACGTTTCAAAGTCTTTCTAGATTTTGAGGTTCAAGCAGATGAAAAGATGAAAGTTTTTCCTGTGTTGGAAGCTCATTTTGAAGTTTTTATAAGTGGGGAAGTGTTTGGTTTTCAATTATTAACTAAAAGGATAGTATAGTCCTTTCAACAATATATTGTTTTATAATTGTACAAAACATTTAAGGACATCTTTGTCTTTTACCATACAAGAGGCCATATAAGATGCCAATGTCATAATATTCATGATTTTGGAAGTCAAAGTGAAATTTAGGTCATTTGACTGGGTCAAAGTTAAAAGTACCCCATTTAAAAGATGGTAGAAGAACAAATTTTTTTTTTTTAATCTTTTTCGTTTTATTTGTTGGGTTGGAGGGAATTTTTTTGAGAACTGCCAATAGGCCGCTTGGCACCATTTGGTTATCGGTGCTTATATTCACACAGCTCATTTTAATCCAACAATGTTATTCATAATGAAATTATCAGGAGACATATAATGTTATTCATAATTGAACAATGTCATTTGATATATTAATGTAAAAAAATAATTTATTACCTCATTTCTCAAATAATAAAATGTTATTTATGTATCACATAAGACGATTATCGATTAATTATAAATAACACAGCTCTCCCCGTTTGGCCCCCATTATTTGGTTTATAATGGGAAGAATAGTGTTTTTTAGAAAATTTGATGATTATTAAAGAATAAAATATTATCGATTTGTGTGTAATATTATTTTAATGAATATTGTGTGGTTGAAAATAAAAGAGAAAAATTTACATTAAATTAAAGAGTTTTAAAGGGGGCTTAATTATATAGAAATTTATTAACTTTCATTTATCAAAATTATATTTTTAATAGTTTTTCATCACATTCTTATTTTTAATATTTTATTAATCAGAAAATATTATCCTTAATCATGATTTTCAAAAAAAATATTTTTAATGTGCTTTAAAATAAGGGTCAAATATTTAATCATATTTTTACATTATATTTTTTTTACTTATTTATAAATATAGTTGACAAATGAATCTTTTTACTAGATCTCAAAGAAAATTTTGAAGGAAAATCATAATCAGAATCAATTTATGTTAATTTATGAGTAAGAATATGATGAGAAAAGTTTGTGACATAAATATGACAGTATGTAAAAGTTATGAAATTCTCATACAATTAAAATGTAATTATTTATTAAAAATGGTGGTATGAATTTTTTTAAACATTTGGTAATTTAGTTATTAAAAAATAAAAGTTGTGGTATGATATGCATATATTTAACCTTTGGTTACTTGGAAGTTTGGAAATTCAGTTTTTAGGCAATCCAACTGCCATGGCCATGTTTGGCTGTACTTCCAAGAAAATATATAGTTTAGTACGACTGCTTAACCTCGTCTCAAGTAGAGTCAACGAAATGTTGGATTCTTTAGAAGATAAAATTGAGCATATATGTTGATATCTACTCAAGAGAAATCATGTCAAGAAAAATAATAGTGCCAAGGAAATGTTTGATTCTTCTAAGGAAAAGGTTAAGCGATGTTAGACTTTTCTCGAGAGAGATAGTATCAAGTAAATAAGTACATAATGAGGTAAGGAGCGTTTTGATGTGATTTATTTTAGGATTCACGAGATGCGAGTTTGATTATCCTTTGAATATATAACGGGATAAATTTTGCTTGAACGTTATTAAGCTCTCAATCAATAGGTGTGGCTGGCAAATATCTGGAAAACCAAATGATTCTTTCACAAATAAAGATAAGGTTGTGATTGGCAACTTGGATGGATGATGCATCACTTAAGCATGGATTACTTTATCTGACTTTAAAAAGCATCTATTACAAGCAGGTGAGGGAAGCAGTGGAGGACTTGGTGCATGTTATATTGGGACTTGCAACACATGACAAGAGACTGATATTTTCTCATCAGTCAACCAATTACAAGAAATCGACATTAGGTACAAGATCATAGGCAACATTCAAAGTGTTGTAGATCGAATGCCTCTTACAGATAGCATAATTAATGTAGACAATGACCCATCTTATTTAGATAATAGGACAAATTCATAGCCCGGCTCAACTAGTAGCTTGTGAATTTAATTCCGATTTTAGTGACCATGCACGGGATGCCTGTGAATACGTAAATGGTGATGTGGAGAATATGGCAACCTTCCATTGGTTTCGATCCAAAGTCTCCTTTGGGATTATGAATAAAACATTACAATAATGCTGGACGTACAGGATGTTGTTCATAGAGCTTTTAAAGGAACTTGAAAATGGTGAGGTGGCATTTGAAAAAAAAAATAACCAAAATGTGAGATAAAACCGGGAACCACGCATTACATTTCCCCATCTTCCCTAAGTTATCCAATGTCATCAAGAGACTACATCCATCTTCTCGCTCCATCGCCAGCTAACCAATCGGCGCGCACCTCCGGCCATCCTGGTTGAAGGCTTTATTGCTAACCAATGTGAGTTGGGTATCCCGAAAAAGTGACGACGAAGACTTGCTGGCCACGTTAACTTGATCCTCTCCCTACCGTCATCTAAACCCCACGAAGCCTCAAAATCTCGAGGTGCCATTTATCTCTCTTTCAATGGAAGAGTGAGCTTTGGAGTTTACGGTCTGGCTGGAGGTGCGGCGCTGATTGGCTAGCTGGGTTTTATTGATAACCAATGTGAGTTGGCTATCCCGAAACAATGACGACGAAGGTTTGCTGGGTTTAGATTTTTTGGGTTTTATTGCTAAATCACATTGGCCGGGATATCCAACTCACGTGGCCGTAAGACTCTTAATTTTTATTTTTATTTTCAGAATAAAACCTAGAAAATCCTCATCTTGTCTCATATTATATATATACTTTTTTGTTTTGCAGCATCGAGCAAGAATATTGGTATAGAAGAGATATCACTTGGTTTTTATGAATGCTGAATTTAGAAGATTTGTGAAGCTGCGCATTCTGTCACTCGGTTTTGCTAGAATCCGATTTGGAATCAGTTTTCCGTTTGTTTATAACCTGTGAAAGTGCTGAATTTTGGAAAATTGGTTATATATTTGTTTTTGATTGTGTAAGGTGCAAATAGTGTGATATTACAAGGGGTTATAAACGTTTTTTAATTCTGTGTAATGGCTTCAATGAAATTGCTTTACTGTAGGTCTCTTCCAATTTTATTTTGTAAAGTCTAAGACATCTACTTGGACAGATTATGTGGATGGTTAACGGGAAATGTTAAACATCACAGCAACTCAAATTACATTAACTTCATTTCATTAAATTCCTTCACTATTATTCAATATTTCAAGCATTCACCCTCAACATAAAATGCAAAGCTCAGCTCCATGGCAAGAATGAGATTTACTGATGCCAAACATAATAGAAGGAACAAAGTTTACACCCACTTTCCAATATCAAATACAAATTACAATACTATTAGAATTCGCCTCCTCACTATTAATCAAGCCAGCCCCCTTCCTTTCGAATTCCCTTCCTCACTCTCTTTTCCCTTGAGGAATGTCACATTTAATAAAATGTCGACGTCTCCTTTTTCACTTGCTAGCGTTTCAAACATGCGTGACATATCTTTGACCTCCTCCTTGGCAGCAGGATTCACCGCTTGATTCTCCTTGTACGACCACGTAAAACATTCCTTCCTCCCATTTTGAGATGCAAAACAACCACATAAAACAAATGTCAATACTACGCGAACTAAGAAGATTGAGAATAATTCATGTTCAATTCTAAAGTTTTCAAAATTTAAAATCACAACACCTACAACAGGCATTAGGCATATCCTCCTAAAGAACCAGAGCCATCCCCACGGTTCTTAAAAACTTTGCTGCAGTAGAGAACAGAGCAATAAGATGCATATTAATATCTCCAACTCCACCCCCTTTTCAGCTTCACCACTTGAATTCTCAAACAAGCAAATTCTTGACTAAAAGCTTGTTTATTCATCAACTCCACCTCCTATATAAATGACTATTCATACAGATTTCAATTGCACATCAATAATTTTGTTATATACATCTAGGTCTGATTTTTTATAACATAATTAACTCCCCCATTACCTTTATAAACTTTACGGAAATGTGTTCTTTAATGCTGGTTTGGCGTCGAACGAAGGAGGAGAACTGTGGTGGTGCTTTCGCTGCGGGAGAGGTGAACAATAGGGCTCACTTCTTTTAAAATCTCGGCAGGTATGTTGGGGTAATGCTTCTGCGGAACCTTCTTCACTTATTTTGAGCCGGTCGGAGGTGGAGATGAGTCCGGCAGTTTTGTCTCGCTGTTATAAATGGAGGCTATGGCTTTGGAGAATGTGTCCAAGGTTTGAACTGAATAGGCGAGAAGGGACGCAAAATAAGATTTCAATTGGGATTTTAGTTTAGTTTTTTCAATTGGTTAGTGTTTGTGTGAAACCCGCAAGCGTACGAGATTGTTGACAAGTAATAAATTTAGTGAGTTAAGAGTATCGTTCCACAAATAAATTTTAATTGAGTATACTAGTATTTAATTAGATTCAAAATAAATAAATAAAATTGATTTTTGTGATTTTTAATTATTCTAATTTAATCTACGAAAATGTGTAAAATGCAAATTTAATATGTATATGGGAAGAGTGTATTGGATTACGAATCCACCTATTATTATCTATTCCAATTCTCGACTACGTAGCTAGTTTCGTTCTTGCATTTTCGACAATCGATAATTCTATTGTAATTAATTTTCCTTTCCAAGACAAATTAAATATATCATATTTACGACCCGATCCATTCCCAGTCTGAATTCATATGAATAGAACGGATTCAATTTTACAATTATCTCAAAAATTGCATACGTGATAAATCTTATTTCTAAAATTTATTGCACGTATGTTAATCATACAGTGTTCCAAACTTATTGTGAACCTCCCAACACTACATCAAGCAATCATATATTTAATTGGTGATCAAGCAATCAAATAATTAAATTAAAATGTGCTTGATCCAGGGAGTGCAGATTTTCGCAGCGATTTGATCTCGGTTGGACAAATAGTGGTGCCACTTGATTCGAGTCGCCCTCCCATAACTGATTCTGAAATCCCTGTCTTAAAAAAAAGAATTTGATTCTGTATGCGCCGGTTTGCCCTTTTTTTACTACGGTTCTGAATCAACCTCTTTAGCAAACAAGGAAGGGATTGATTTGTTGATCTACGACCACCGTTGCGCTAACGCCGTTTTCTTGCTCCGTACCGTCTATCCACATTCTGACTATGCTAAGGTAGAGATAGGAATAACTGGCTCTGTCTTTTTCTTTTTCTTTCCTTCTTTGAATAGATAGGGTCTGACTGGCTCATTAAGAAATATGCGGGTCTTATTAGCTAAGCGTTAGTAGAGCAGGACTACTTGAAGATGGAGACGATAACTAAATAATAAAATTGTTGCTAGACCAGACCAGATCAATTGTTGTTTTATCGCTGAAGTCACTTTAGTGGTGAGGCTATGGAGACAGTGCATCCTTAGGTTCAAATCCTGTCAGGCACTTCAGGGTACCACCTGTCGACACTTAAGACCTCGCAGGAGATGATGGAGGCGGATTTTCTTCAAAATTGCATGCAAGATTAATAAAGAAATTGCAAGAATTTAACTAAGTTATGTGTCTTGAATTAAAAATAAATAATAACGAGTTTTATTTTCATCCAATACATGAGAAAAATTAGCCTAGCATAATGTTGAAATTAAACACATAAAGTTGAAAAGACATCACCGAGAAATTGACGAAACGTGATTAACTCCACAATTTCTTCTCGACTACTGCACATGTATGGATATGTATATCTAACTCCAGGCAGCCTTCTTTTGTATTTTATTTCCCAAACTAGCTGGTGCCAAATTGTGTGTAGTGTTTGTATATAAAAATCAATTCCCCAAAGTTGGTTGCCACTTTTCTGTGCGTGTAATCTCCAATTCCAGCACACCAATTTCTCAGTCGACAGTCCTCTCCTGTTGTGTGTATCAAAGTGTATATATATAGCCCAACAATCCTCAATGTTGGCATCTTTTTCTATGGTTTTTGTCTCCCCCACCAGCTGCCTGTTGATGCGCATATAATATATCAAGTAGTCGACAATTCACGTAATTGTATGTATGAAAATCAGCCCAAAGGGTGTTTGGGAGATATTTTTATATAAAAATACATTTTTGAATAGTAAATTGATGTGTGATTGAAAAATAAGAAAAAAATTTGATTTATGTATAATATTATTTTAATAAAGAATGTGTGATTGAAAAGAGGAGAGAGAAAAATATATTTTGAAAAAATTGGGTACCAAACGGGGTGCCAAGCAATCTCAATGTTTGTATATTTTCAAACAATTGGCAGCCCTATCTTTCTCCTCTTCCCGCCAACCTTTTTCTCTGATTTTTTCTCTTCCCGGTTGGTGTGTAATTCCTCTCACCAGCCAATCTAGTCCTTGATATGAATTTTATTTGTGCAATCAATGTCCTTCTCAATTACAAACTTGTGGAATTTAATCCCAAATTATATATTTGACTCGATTTTGCCCTTCTTCCTTTCCAATTACTTCAAACAGGTTCGTCACTAAAAACAAGAATAAAATTAACCTAAGTTAAATAGAAATAATAATTTGACGACTGAAAAGTTTAATAAATGTAGCCTAAATAAGTGCATAAATTACACTTATCAATTAGCAATAAAGCCTTCAACTGGGATGGCTGGAGGTGTGGCACCGATTGGTTAGCTTGCGATGGAGTGAGAAGATGGGTGTAGTCTCTAGGTGATATTGGATAATTTGGGGAAGATGGGAAAATGTAATGCGTGGTTCCCGATTATCTCACATTTTGTTTTTGTTTTTTTTTCAAATGCCACCTCACTATGTTTTCAAGTTTCCTGTAAAACCTCCGTGAACAATATTCTGTACGCCCAACATTATTGAAAACCTTAAGTTCAAACCTATTTGGTAGGATTGCAAAATGGTTTAAGGTTGCAAATGGTGGCCGCAATTTACTCTATGCTTAATTCCTAATTGTAATTTTAAATAAATAAATACTGTATGTTTACCATTAAGTAGGATAGTGAAAGAGTATTATTAGGCATGTTTGGTAAGTGATGCCCAAATCCCCTAAACTATGATGAAAAATCTAAGCCCTTTTTAACTTCATATGCTATAAGCCCAGAATTGAAGAATTAATTCACACCACAATTGACGTAACCCAATTATGTTGGGTAATTAGAGATAATCAGCACATTGGGCTAGATGCTCAATACCCAATTTGGAGGTAATTTGAAAATCACGAGAAAGATAGATAAATATAATTGATATCTTTTATTCAACCACTTTATCTCGTCTTGGATGAGCTCTATCATTCTGTCAACTTAATCTTGCAGTTTTGATTCACCCTAATCTTGCAAGATTTTTGGGAAATCCGTTCTCTATACGAGCCTATAAATTGGAGTCTTTACTCTTTATTTTACACACCCAAAAACAAGAGAAAATCTCTTCCTGCTTAGTGTAAAAACAAATCCTCCTCTGCCTTTTTTTGTGAATTTGTCTTTGTGACTGATAATGATCTTCAAATTGAAGATATCTATGTGGTGTAGATCGAGTTTCTGAGCCTAATCAAAAAAGGGAAAATCATTCTTCAATTTTTCAGATTTTTGGTTTTGATTTTCATGCAATAATATCTACAAATCCTTCACTAATTGGTTGTTTGATTCAATTTGTAGGTGGGTTTGCTCCACAATTGGTATCAGAGCTTAGTGGTGGTGAAAATCCAGCCAAAATTCGACCAAAAACAAAAGAAACGGACTGCCCAGTTTTTTGTACAAAAATCGCATATGCAAACGCAATTTCCTGGCAATCCAGAAGTCCATTGGTGAAAACGAAAATCGGGGTTGAGACGTGCAGGTAGAGGCGGTGTTGGGTGCGTGGCGTGTGTTCCCGATGGCAGCGCATGGCAACTCCGGCGATAGCGCGTGGTCTTGAATTTGGAAAAGTTGTCTTCAGACAGTTTGTTCCTCACATTATTTCTTACATTTGTCGTATTGGGAGTTTTCTGTTTCAGGTTACACAGAAAAAGTTGGACGATTTTACCCTTTGTGGATCAACGGTTTAAATTGTCACATATATACTGAATTACTTTAGGCCAAAATTACGGCCCTAAAATAGTAAATTCGTATCTCTCGTAATTTACGGATTTAGACAAGTCCACTCTGGTAAATTGGAATTGGAGGTTGTCATTACTTAACAACCATTGCTTATTGATAGAATCTAGGATTACTTGCCATTATCTGTTTAATTTTCTAAGTGAAATTATTTATTCGTTATTAGATTAATTTGTTGAACGTCATTGCATTATCTTGTATTATTTTAGACTTGTACCCAGACTCCTATTATAGTTCTTCCCTTGATCTGAGAACTCAGTTCTCACGAAACCCTTGGGTTCTAGAATAGCGTATTATTGTGAAATCATAAGAATCTTGTTACTCCGTGTAATTTGTGTGACCTGTGACTTTTACATATCTGAATTTGTGTTCTGTGCATTTTTTGGTAAAATGTCGACACGTTATTTTGAGTTGGGTGTCCTTAATGGTAAAGGAGATTTTTCAATTTGGCAACAAAAAATGAAAGGTATTCTTGTTCAACAAAAATTTTCCAAAGCTATTGATGACTCTTTTCCTACAAACTTGACTAATGAAGAAAAAGAGAATATGGATGAATTGACATACACTTCTATAATATTACACCCGTCTGATGCAATATTAAGAAAAGTTGGTAAATTAAAATCAGCTCAAAAACTTTGGGTAAAATTGGAGGAACTTTATGTGTCTAAGTCAACTCCAAATAAACTTTTTCTACTTGAAAGCTTTTTTAGCTTTAAAATCGATTCTTCAAAAGATTTGAATGATAATTTGGATGTCTTTAATAAACTCGTGTAAGATATCACTAGCTGTGGTGAAAAAGTATTTGAAAAATATAAGGCAATCATGTTGTTAAATGTTATCCCTGAAATTTATAGAGAAGTTATAAATGCTATTAAATACGGAAGAGATGCTTTTAACACCTGAAATTGTAATAAACTCGTTAAGAAATAAAGAAATGGAAATGCGAGCCGAGAGAGTCGAGAGAAAAAGTGGCGAGGTTCATATGATGAGAGGTAGGTCTCACTCTAGGACCCATGATAACTAAAGTGGATACACGTCTGGTAGTAAAAAGAAAAGTAGAAGTTTATCTAAGTCAAAAAGTAAAACTAAAGGTAGAAAATGTTATGGGTGCGGTAAAACTGAGCACTTCATTAAAGATTGTTATGTTGAAAAAAACAAACAAAATGAAAAGGTTCACGACGAGACAAATGCTCTTACTTCTTCTGATGAATTTTGTGAAGTATATGTGTTATTAAACTCTGAACCTATTGAAGTAAATTTGACTATGAAATCACATTTAAATGAATGGATACTTCATTTTGGTGCATTATTTCATGTTTCATCACATAAACACTGGTTTGAAAATATGCAAGAATCTGAAAGTGGTCATGCTATTTTGTGCAATAATCATGCATATAAAATTGATGAAATTGGTGATATCACGTTAAAATTTGAAACTGGTTATGTACTTAAATTATATGGAGTCAGATATATTTCTGAAATGGCTAGGAATCTTATTTCAGTAGGAGCATTAGAAACTGATGGTTTTACTGGTAAAATTGAAAACAATATGCTTAAAATGATTAAGGTTGCTCTTGTCACATGTAAAGGTACTAAAAGAAACGGTATTTATTTGACCACTGTTGAAATTGTTAAAAATTCAACTTCCTCTATAAATTTGACCAACACTGATGACACATGCAAGTGACACAATAAATTAGCTCACATAAGTATTAAAAGACTTAAATTGCTAAATGATAGAGGAGTTTTTGGAAAAGACTGTGTGTCTAATATGCCTTTTCGTGATCACTGTGTACTTGGTAAACATCATAAGTCACCTTTTTCAACTGGCACGTACAAAACTACTAATGTTTTAAAATATATTCACACTGATTTGTGGGGGCCTGCTACTAATCCTACAATGGGTGGTAATGGATATTTTATGTCTATAATTGATGATTACTCTCGTAGGGTGTGGGTCTATCTGCTAAAAGATCAAATTGAAACCTTTAAAATTTTCAAAATATGGAAATTGCAAGTTGTGAAAATTGCAAGTTAAAACTCAAACTGACAAAAAGATAAAATATCTAACAACTGATAAAGGCCTAGAGTTCTATAACAATGATTTTGATGATTTGTGTGAAAAATGTGAAATTACTAGACATAAAACTGTTCCTTATACACCTCAACAAAACGGGGTAGCTGAACGTATGAATCGTACTTTACTAGACAAAGTTAGATGTATAATGTTAAGTTCTGAAATTCCTAAATCTTTTTGGGGTGAAGCTATTATCACTGCGTGTTATCTAATTAATTTGACACCTTCTATTGCATCAAATGATGATACTCTACATGAAAAATGGTATGGTAAATGTGCTGACTATACCGTGTTGAAAACTTTTGGCTGTACTGCTTTCTCTCATCAAAATGAGGGAAAACTAGAACCTAGAGTTAGGAAATGTGTTTTCTTAGGATACCCTAAAGGAGTTAAAGGGTATAAGCTTTGGGATAGAAGCCAAAATGGAGTTAAGATCATCATAAGTCGTGATGTTACATTTAATGAGTCTGAAATGCCATGTCTAAAATCAGAAAGTGACACTTTGAAAGAAAAACGGCAAGAAAACATTAGTGACGAATCTCAAATAAATTAAAGGTCCTTAAGTGTTCAAATCCCCACCACCTCAATCAAGGTGGAGAATCAAAATCCTGAGCTAGAAGATAATCAGAGTGAAAATATTAAGAGAAATGAAGTTATAGAGAAACATAAAGAAGAGCAAAACCCTTTGTCTGATTACCAGTTAACTAGAGGCAGAGTTAGAAGAACACATAGGGTGCTTCAAAAGTTAGAGTCTGATTTTGAACTTGCTTATGCTAGTTATGAAGAACTAGTTGATAGGGAATCAACCACGTATGAAGAAACCTTGAGGAGTGAACAATCTGAGAATTTGGTGAAAGCAATGAAAGAAGAGATAAACTCCCTCAATAAAAATCAAATATGGGAATTAGTCCCAAGACCTAAAGACAAGTGTATAATTAGGTGTAAATGGGATTTTAAAATGAAGGAGGAAATTACCAAAAAAGATGGTTTAAGGCTAGACTTGTGACCAAAGATTACACACAAAAAGAAGGGGTAGATTACAATGAAATATTTTCTCCAATTGTTAAATATACCACAATTAGGACTATGCTTGCATTAGTTACATATTTCAATTGGGAACTTGAACAACTTGATGTTAAAATTGCTTTTCTGCATGAAGAAGTTGATGAAAAGATTTTTATGAATCAACCTAAAGATTTTGAAAATAAACAAAAATATGATCATGTGTATTTTCTTAAACGCTCTTTGTATGATTTAAAATAATCTCCTAGACAATGGTACAAACGTTTTGATTCGTTTGTTAAAACAATTGGTTCTAGAAGTAGTGAATTTGATTATTGTTTATACTATCAAAGTAATGCAAACACTAATAACTGTGTGTTTTTTGTTGTTATACATGGACGATATGCTTTTGATTAGTCCCAACTTGAAGTTGTTAAATGATATAAAAACTACTTTAAATAATGACTTTGATATGAAAAACATAGGTAATGCAAAAAAGATCTTAGGCATGAAAATTCAAAGAGATAGGTCTAATTCAATTTTATTTTTGTATCAGGCTCCATATATTATGAAAATTTTGAAGAAATTTGGCATGAATGAATGTAAACCGGTTACATTACCTTTAGCTAATCACTTTATATTATCTAAAGAACAATCACCTGCTAATGAAGAAGAAGAAGAATATATGAAATGAATTCCATATATAAATGTCATTGGTTCTGTGATATTTCTAATGGTGTGTACTAGACCTGACTTAACCTTTGCTGTTAGTACACTTAGCAAGTATATGTCCAACCTGAGTCCCAAACATTGGGAAGCTTTGAAATGGCTGTTTAGATATTTGAAGGAACATGCAATGTTGGCTTAATATATAAGTTTAGTACTGAAAGAATAAAATTGAAAGGTTTTACTGATGCTAACTATGCTGGTGATAGAAATAATAGAAAATCTACATCTTCCTACATTTTTACTCTGTGTAATTCATGTGTTAGTTGGAAATCATTACTTCAACATGTTGTTGCATTATCCACTACAAAATCAGAATACATTGCTGTTAATGAAGCCTTTAAAGAATCTTTGTAGTTTAAAGGTATATTAAATAAACTTGGAGTTTTTAAAAACATTATGACAATATATTCTGATAGTCAATATGCTATTCACTTATGCAAAAATCATATCTTTCATGAACGTACTAAACATATAAATATTAGATTGCATTTCATTAGAGATATAGTTTCTCAAGAATTGATCAAACTTGAGAAAGTCCTTTCAGAATATAATCTTGCAAATATGGAAACTAAGATGCTCCCATTGGTAAAGTTTAGAAACTGTCTTGATCTTCTAAACATCAATACAAACTTATAAGTCTTTTTCCTTAAACTATTTGTTATCTTATCTGACTTGCAAGATGATTTGGTATTAAGATAGAGGTTGATAGGCATGTTTGGTAAGTAATACCTTTGTAGTGTGGATCGAGTTTTTGAGCCAAATAAAAAAGGGGAAAATCGTTCTTCAATTTTTCAGATTTTTAGTTTTGATTTTCTTGCAATAATCTCTACAAATCCTTCACTAACTGGTTGGTTGATTCAATTTGTAGGTGGGTTTGCTTCACAAGTATCGTGAACTGTCTATTTACTATAAGCTTAGTCAAACATGGCCTTAAGCCCCACCAGACATTTATCTCTGTCCTTTACTCTTTAGACACAAAACAATTATTTGATTCCCACAATTATGCATTATTGACCCGACTATAATATTATTAGATTCCCATAATATTATTTCCATCCAACTTGTAGATGACATCTCAATTGTCTACTCCAATCTGGTTTTTCGTGCTTCAAATCCAATTTTCCAGAAAATGTAAATAAATAGATTCCCGACCAAAATTAAAAACATTTTTTAATTTGGATTGAAATGTAATTTCATGACAGTAAAGTTTCATCAAATAATCACCAGATCAACAGTTGTACATTAAGCACCATGTATGGTACCCTCATTCTATTTACAAAAACCAACAACGAAAAGGACGATAATATAGATCTGACACACAACAATCTCAAATATTACATCACAAATCACAATAATTAAAACTGAAATCTGGGATGTAAATTTCACAGCGAAATTAAATTCAGTACAAAGAAATATTAGTAAATTAATTAATTAATTATGAAATATGATTATTTTCCTCGATTATTGAAACTCATTTTCTCGAAGTACTTGATCGAGAGTAAAGAAAGTGAAAGATTCACCTCATCCTTTCCCCATCGAGCCTTCGATCGTGTCGGCACCGCCGCCGGAGCAGGCGGAAGGCAAGGCCAAGCGGAAACAGTCGGCGGAGAAGAGGAAGACGAAGAAGACGGCTTAAGAAGAGGCCAGAGGTAGCTGGAGTAGAGCCGTCGGAAGCCACCGAGCGCCAGCACAACGGTGCGGAGCTGTAGAGGGGTGCGGTTGTAATGCTTGGTGCAGATCAACTCCCAGAGCTGATCGTCGTGTGCCGTCCGCTTCCACTGCTTGCTAACGCACGCGGCAGAGGCTAACGTACGTCCGTCGTCGACATGTTTCAGAACCTCGGTCAACAGATTGTCGTCTAGTAGTACTGCCTCAGCTTCTTTTGACATTTCTTCTTCTTCTTGCTTGAGCTTTTTGTTCATATTGCTGTCCCCGGCGACTGCTAGTGGGCGTTTCATTGCCGAATCGGGAATCGAAAATTTAGGGATTTGAGGGTTTAGTTTAGGGGAAAATAACGAGGGCTTGGTGGGATTGCTGAGGGGACTGGTGGAATGGAGGTTTTTGGTTGTTTTCGATAGAGACAAGTTGCGAAATGAATGCATTTGGTGGTCGTTTCAATGTTAAATGACAATTTTGTCCCTGTGATGCACTTTTTTTTTTTTTTGGCTATTGGTTCATTATCTATCCAATTAAATAAATTGCAACACTAGTCCCCAATCTATTTGACTTTGTTGCTGTTTTCACCAACTTACATTTCCTCGCACAAACATCCACAATCTTTAGCTTTGCAGAATTTTTCCTTAGCAAGAGAAAGAAGTGTTCTATTCTTATGTCGTTCAAACTAAAATGATGAAAAAGTATGAAGAGGGAACCTTTTTTTGTCGGTGGACAAGAAAGCTGGCTAACTATTCCTCTTTCAAAACGTCGCATCTTCGGGCTGGCTAGATGCGATGCAACACGAAAGCATAGACTGGAGCAAACAATGGTCGAACCACTCCGGACCACCTTTCCACCACTAGTTGCGGTCTATACATTTCCCCCAAAGGCTTAACTTTGGACAAAGTTCGTCCACTACAAAATTCTTCCATATCCACCAGTTCACATCCAACCCTTTCCCACTCAAAGCACTGTATAAATGTGCCTAACGCCAATGCCATCAGCCGTATAGCCATGCCGGACCCTGGACATGCCCTCCTCCCCACTCCAAATGGTAGAAACCCATTTGTTCTATCTTCAATTCCATCAAATCTACCAGGTTTGAACTTTGTGGGCTCTTCCCAGACCTTAGGGTCTATATGAATTGCCCAGGCATTTACTAACAACGTTGTACCACCAGGAATTTCGAATCCTTGTACGTTGCAATCTTGCGATGAACAATGAGGTCCAACTGGGTACAGCCTGAGTGTTCATTGATTATGCAGTGCAAGTATGATAGCTTAGGGAGATCTGAGTCCTCAAGCAATTTTCCAGGGGTGACTGTTGTAGATTTCAAACCGGGCCATTTTCAGCTCCTCTGGGTGATTTAGCAAAAGTGACACTGCCCACTCCATGGTTAGAGCTATTTTGTGTGTTCCTGCTGTCAACATTGGCTTAACCAAGATGGAAGAAGGTATTAATTTCACGATTTATTATGTTTGGTTCGTATTAGACTAGACTGTAATGCATAGTATTCCACAGTGAAAAACAAGGATATTGAATTTGCTGCTTCTTTAATCCTGTCTAATGTGTTCAAGTTAAGGCTTATAAAATAGCACGTTTAAGTATAAAACATACTTATTTACTTACAAGTAAATTCAATTTTAAGTAATGCTTTTTAAGCTTACAAAACATGCACTTGGAATCAAAGGCACCCGGGAAAGGCTTACCAGAATGACTGCCTTGATGATTTCATCTGTGTAGCATTCTGGTTCTGTTTGTTGCAAGGACAAGAGTTCTTGAACAAGAGTCTTCCTTTTCGAACCAGTAATGGTGCTGCAATTCTCGTCAATCAAACCCTGTAAGAAATCATCTCTTTTTCTCTGCAAATTTATTAGTTTCTTCTCCATCCCTCTAAATCCCACCCATGTTAACAAAGGAATATAATCACAAATATCCATAAAATTTCCAGGCTTGAAAATTTCGTAATCCTCAATGGACCAGCGTTTTCCAGTAACCATCATCATTGTCACATTGTAAACCAATTCAGAGAATAAGTTTTTCAGGTTCACTTTCCTCCGGGCTGCATTGACAGAGCCCTGGAAATGAGTTTCATCAGTCCGGATGGATGCAAAATGTTGCAGATTGGAGGAGGAGAAAATATGTACTGTGGATAATCAGCGGAGATTCCTCCAGTGATCTCCATATGGGGAGAATCCAAGGGAGGTGTGATTGTAGCCAGGATTTTGCTTGCCAGGGAATCTGGACCGTTGGCAAATATGATATCATTCTTTGTGAAGCATTGCTCGACCACCGAGTGGGAGGAAATAAGGAGGATCCCACGGCAGCCGAAATGGAGATAGATGATGGAGCCTTTGGACAGATCTTGTAGAGCACAGTGGGGCAAGGTTTTGAGGTGATGGAGATGTCCGAGTACTGGAATAGCTAGCGGAATTGGTGGCAGGTTTCTTGAATAATTATTCACATTCAAAATCCTGAATATAAAGAAGATTGAAAAAATAAGGAGTAGAGAGCACCAGCATATCTCCATTTTTATCGAAGGAAAGATAGTCTAACCTACTGTCTTGCAACTCTTTTGTTTATATTGTGCGAGTACTTCTTTATTTTTCGTTCATGCATAGTTTTATGAACACTTGATTGCATAGTGTTGACTTGTTTTTTGTTTTCTTGTTTTCTGATCTTTCCTGGATGATTCCGGAAAAGATTATGTCAGGTTTATTGTAAATGGAAGGCAGTTTGTGACAGAGCAGTTCTTTTCTTTTTCCATTTTGGTAAGATCCCAAATTGGGATGTGTAATATTCTCTGCAGATAATATTTGTTTTTGCTGGCTTTCTACACTAACTATATTTGTTTAAAACGCTTTAATGGGTCTTTAATCTTTTATCTTAATCAAATCTCTGCTTTTGATATTGCTGAGGTTAAAATATAGGTAATCAGTGACATAATTGTGTGATGCTTTAGCTTATGTGTACTTTACTCCAAGTTCCAACTCCAACTCCGGTCCTAACTTCGATTCCAACTCCAACTCCATCTACAATTTGGGAATCTTGTGCTGACACATATGGCAACATGAGGAAATAACACATTTCTCGTACTCCGATTTTATTTTCAGCTTTCATACATTAATAATTACATGGAATGCTTTATATCTCGGTATCATCGATTGATTTGTTGGTCAAGAGAGGAAGGATTGGTAATGCGAGTCAGTACAAGAGCGAGCTTTTGGATCCGCCAATGGTGAAATGTATCGTTTGCTGGTGCTTTTCTCGATGGAGCAGCCAAATCGAGCCATATATGCTATTTAGGTTTCTTGTAGAGGCCAAGTCTTCTGAAGTTCTGTTCATTCTTGCATTGAACAAAGCAGATCTCTTTGTTGAAAACAGATGAAAAATTTCAGTGTTTGTAAGTGCTTAGTTTATGTTTTTACAGAGCTTCAACTCCTTCAACCTGCTTTTTTCGATTTATTGCAGAGTAGTTGAGACAAAAACAGGAAAAGCAGCAGCAGAAATTGTATGACTTTTCTATCTTTTCATTATAAGGGATTGACCTAGTTTTATACGAGTATTACTCAAAAGGAAAGATTCTACACTTTTTGTAAAAATAATCACACACACAATGAGTAAAATATAACATCGAATATTATTAAAATAACTATTTATTTTCGAAGACAGATAATATGAGAAGAAAAACACCATAGTAGTGTTCCTCAAAAGACTTAGGTCATTCGTACTTCAGTGCCTTCAGCTTTTTGAAGGATGTCCTTAACACCTTTTAGTTTGCCAAGAGCATCTCTCATGCTGATGCGCCCATCGGGAGAATCAACAGTGCAAGAAAGCCCAATCTTGAAGATTGTGACAAGGCAATCATCTTGAATTTCAGGCTTAGTGCATTTGCTCTCATCCCAAATATCTTTCCCATTTTGAAGTAGCACAGGGTCCAGCACTTGAGCCAAGTAGGTGGGAAAAGACTTCTCTACCCAGTTCTTTAGGCTTAGCCCTCCAGTGAAAGTCTGGTCAGTGGGGCTCTTCCCCGTAAACAGCTCGAGTAGAAGGATACCATAACTGTACACATCTCCGGCAATGGATGGCTTCTCCCCGAAGCCATATTCTGCATATAACGCTTTAATTGGTTAAAAACACTTGACGAACTTGAGCAAAATTTGACTTAAGTTAATAAACTTTTTTTGCTCCAAATCAATAGTTTATTTCCAATTAAACCAGTGTATCGAACAACAAAAAACCTGACCTGGCAGACAGAAAAGCCAACGTGGACTTACAAACTGTTGTTTTATATTTAAAACATTCAACTATGAAAAAAGCGTGTTTTACAAGATGAAGTTCAGTGACCAACAGTAGTAATTACAAGAATCGAAAGAACTAACCTGGTGGAATGTAACCAATAGTCCCCTTCAGAGTGTATGTAGAACTGATGGCTGTCTGATTATCATTTCTCTCAATCAACAACTTGGCAAGACCAAAATCTCCGACCTTGGGAGTCATGTCTGAATCCAGGAGAATATTGCTTGGCTTCAAATCACAGTGCACTATGGGAATTCCAGTTTCATTGTGTAAATATTCTACAGCAGATGCAACACCTATTGCCAAGTTGAGTCTATCCATAGCATTCAATCCCTTCCCATCTTCATACCTTCTTTTTCCTCTTATCCAATCATCCAAGTTTCCATTACTCATGAACTCGAAAACTAAAGCGAGGAACCCGTCATTCTTGTAATCTATGCTGGAGCATACAGTAATAAGTTTAACGAGATTCCGGTGCCTAATACATCTCAAAGCTGCACATTCTGCTAAAAAGATCTTCTGGGATTTAGCCATAGTCGTGTCAAGAACCTTAATGGCAACTGCAATTCCTCCTTGTATAAGTCCTCTGTAAACGGATCCAAAACTTCCTTGTCCAATCAGATTTTCTTCCTTAAAATTCTCGGTTGCCTGTCGGAGCTCATCATAAGAAATCATTTGATGCTGTCCCCTAAAGGATTCAAAATTTCCCTTCACCATTCCTTTTCCTTTCCTAATGTAGAATAGCAAGCCAACAGCAAAACAAAGTGCTACTATTGCAATGGGGATTACTATGATATAAACAGTCCTTCGACGAACATGGAAATGTTTACATGCCAAATCCAGGCAAAGGTTTTGGTTGCCTTCCAAATAAAGTTTCATTGAATTCGTAAAAACCGGAATTTTTCCTTCCAACCGATTGAAGGAGAGATTTAAGAGTTGCAGTGACATCAAATTTTCTAGATCAAGTGGAATTGCCCCAGAGAGCTGGTTGGAGGACAAGTCAAGAATTTCCAAACCTCTGACTTCTCCTAAAGTGGATGGAATTTGTCCTGAAAACGTGTTTCTGGCAAGTAACAATTGCTCCAAGCTCTTGCAGTTCCCAACTGACTCTGAAATATTACCTGATATTTTGTTGTCAGAAATGTTGATTGTCACTACATTTTCCAGGAGCCCAATTTCTACCGGTAGAGGACCTGTCAGATAATTCTGAGAAAGATTAAGGAATGCACTTAATTTGGGGAGTTTGAAAATTACCGTTGGTATGCTTCCATTGAGCCTATTATCAGACAAGTCCATGGAAATTAAATTTTGAAAATTTCCAAAAGTCGTAGGTATGCTACCCTCCAACTCATTCCTGGATAGATCAATCCTATTCAATTTTAGCAGATTGCCTAAAGAATTTGGGATTTCGCCAGAGAGATTATTATCTGCCAGTCCCAGGATCTGCAATTCTGTCAACTGCCCGATTTCTTCTGGAATTTTACCGGAAACTGAACTATAGCTCAAATTTAATAATTGTAAGCCCCTAAGCTCACCAATTGAGGGAGGTATAGTACCATAGATATTGTTTCCACCCATGTAAAACTTTGTGAGAACCTTTGAAAGACTGCCTATGGAGTTTGGAATTACGCCCTCAAAAAGATTGAAATCAATGGCGAGAAAGTCTAAACGGGTACTGTTAGACAGTAACTCAAGAAAATTAAGACCCTCTTTCCCCGAACTGACAATCCTATTGAATCCTATGTTATAAAGTCTTAGGTCAGGGAGGTTTCCAAGTCCTGGTGGTATAGTCCCGTGCAAAAGGTTATGCGCCATCCTAATGACATGAATGTTTGTGAGATTGTGCAAAGACCATGGAATAGTACCCGTGAATTTGTTGAAGCAAAAATTGAAGCCTAGAAGATTCGGAAGTGTTAGTCCAACGTCTCCAGGAAGATCACCAGACAAGTCATTGGAAGCCAAAGCCAAATAAACTAAAGAAGACATGTTGTATATTGAGGGAGGAACACTACCAGTGAGATTATTAATAGTGAGATCAAGAAACTTCAGATTTCGAAGAAGGGACAAATCAGAAGGTATTGAGTTACCTAGCTTGTTTGTGCCTAAATTCAAATCATTGAGGGAAGAAATGTTGGCTAGAGATGGTGGAATAGAGCCCGAGAGCTCGTTTCTAGCCAAATTCAAAACTTGGAGCTGTTTAAGGTAACTAATCTCTTCAGGAATTTGTCCTGAAATCTGATTTTGCATCAAATCCAGGACTCTGAGCTGTTTGCACTGGCTTATATTACGCGGTACAACATCTTCCAGGCTGTTGAAACTCAGGTTTAGAAAACGGAGGCGAGGAAGATTGCCAAACTCATCAGGGATTTTTCCTTTCAACTGGTTAATTTGTAGCTGAAGCGTTGTAAGGAAGGAGAGATTACCTACATGAGGGCTTATGGTACCAGTCATTCTAAGGTTTGAAAGATCGACTCGAACGACTCGCTGGCTTTGTTTGTTGCAGAAAACCCCAGTCCAGTTGCATGGAGAAAGATTTTCATCCCAAGTTGACAAAGGGGAATCAGGCGATTCCACGTTTATTTGAGACTTGAAAGAGATCAAGGCCTCCTTGTCAGTAGTAATGCTTAGAGAGGCTACAAATTGTAAATCAGAATAAGTGGCAATAAGTATCAACATGACAAGCAGAATCATAGTAAAGTTGGAGAAATCCATCATGAATGAGAGGAAGGATGTGTGAAGAAGGCAGAAACCAAGTAGTTTATTATATAGGGATCGAGGGTGGCGGGGGGAGTCAGGCTACTTCCTTTTGTACCAACTCAGTGACTTTTCTCAGTTCGACTTCTTCAGTTGGCATGCTATATGGACCAATGTGTTTTCTTCCCAAGACTATATATATATATATATATATAAAACATAAGAATGAATGGTAAAAATGGAAAATATATGCTAAGATGTGGGATCTCTTAAATATTTTAAATGAGAGGTGTCTCGATTGTTATAGACCTCATGCGAGGTTTCTATAAATTTCTCAAAAAGTAAGCAAAAAAAATACATATATTTTAGAGAAACATACAATTGACTTCTAGTCGACATGAAAATAAAAATGTAAAACATAACCAATTTAAATAGTTGCTTCAATTATCAAATATCATGACGGTGAGCATCATATGAAAAAAACATGTTTTTTCAATTGAATTATTATGAAATTATTCGTTGTTGTGATGTAAATTGCGATGGATCTTATATTTGTATCTTGGAGTTTACTTACTAAGGTTTCGAATTTTATAATGAAAAAATCCATCGTGATGATCTCCAATAACATATTTTTGTCTAAATTCGTGTTTTATTTATTTATTTGTGTGGTGTCAATGTACCATGTTACACATCCTAATTAACCATTGTTACAGCAGTATGAGTCAGACAACTTAACCCCCTTTTAAAATTGCTGCTTTTAGTTTTAGTATATATATCACACTTTCAAACCCCCGTCGATTTTGCATGCACAATTTCTACCTTCCCATAGTGCATTTTCTACAAAGATGGGAAAATCTTGTGGACTACGAGTTTTCTGTGACCAATTCAACGCTTTCAAATAAAAAATTGGTGATATCTTGTAGTATCACTGGGGCAATCAAAGTTAAACTAGATTTAAGTGCATGTTTGACAAAATTTATAATTGCTTTGTATGTTGATCAAACCATATTTTTATCTACACATTTTGCATAATCCATAACTTTTAACTACTTTTTAAACACATTCATTGAGACCCAACACTTAAAATATGAGTCAAGCAATATATTTGGTTTGATACTGATATACTTAGTGTTTGATTGAAACTCGCAAGCGTACTGGATCGATGTTCGAATAATAAAAATAGTGAGTTTCGAGCTTATCATTTTCTCGAGGAATAAGATTTAAAATATAGTTCAATAGCTAATATTCAATTCGAGTGACTAGTGACAGCAAAATAGTGATTTTGTCGTTGTTTATATTATTTTTAATCTATACTAATATGGCATGTAATTGTCATTTTATCGAATGTGAATGTTTGTATTGGATTCATAATTCACTCTACTTTCATCTATTTCAATTATGAATTAATAATCTAATTAATTCATGCATTTTTGACAATCGATAACACTAATTTGTTGAATGTTCTTTTTCAAGATACACCAACCTATAATTAACACGATCTGATCATATTATTAGTCCAAATTCATATGAAAATCATCATTTAGTTTAGGTTATCTACATTATTGCACATGTTATAGATATTATTCCTAATACATATTATCCATGTGTTAATTTTACCGCGTTCTAAATTTATTGTGAATATTCCTATACTACAACAAGTTACTAACTATGCAATTGATGGGCAAACAATTAAATAGTGCAATAAAAATGAAAAATCAGTCAAGAAATGCCTAAATTAAAGTCTTAAGTTGAAATAAACAAAAATAGAATTCATCAATAATTCAATACGAATGAAATCTAGCTAAATATGTTTCTAATGATAAACAACAAGAAGAAACAAAGAACATCACCCGAAATTTATAAATTAAAAAAAATGATGTCAGGATCTAATTCTTGTTCTTGATTATCAACCTCAAGATTTGATTATTCAAGTGTTTGATTTTTTTTTTATTCAATACCTTGCTAGATATATTCTCCTCTCCAACTTATAATGAATTTGTCCCTTGTTCTTGAATGATTTATGGTATGGATCTAATTTGAGAAACGCTCCATGGCTGCCCATGTTTTGTATTTTTTATGATGAAATTAGGTCAAGATTCATGTTCAAATTTCCTTCCAAAAATGTTTTAATCAAATAAATAAAGATGTCTTCGCACGCATAAATTTGTCTCTACACATTGTGGTCATAACTTTATCTCCTAATATCATTCAAAATGCATTCAAAAAACTAACTCAAAATGCTACACTTCTTCTAAATATAGAATTTTTCCAATTCGAACTTTTACTTGAAAATGGGTCTCAAACTTTAGTTGAAATTTTGGAATATATGCCTTTTGTGGTTGAAAATTGATTTGTAAAGATCATTTGATTATATTTCATTCTTTTTTGATTTCTTATTACATCCAATTGATCTTAGCAGTCTCTAATTATCGATTTGGAAACCATCACAAGTTTCGAATATTCGCACTTTAGTTCCCAAAATTTACATTTCGCGATTTTTTTAAATTTTTATTCTTTCTTCCAATTCTTAGTCAAATTAGTAAAATAGCAAAGCCACAGTAAAGAAGAATGGAAACCAATTAATAAACGTGAAATCAAGAATTGTTAATTATCATAATTGGGCCTTAGAGAGGAATGGTCAAGAATTAATCCCAAGGAATTCGATAATCACATTAAATTATAAGAAAATCCATACAGACTTGTACATACATAATTATAAGCCATTCACGGGATTTGATAAACAATTCATGAGTTCCTTACAATATGAAAGATACAACTAGTCATTCAATTGTTGGTCAAACAGTCCCTCATCAGTTTCATTATTGCCAATGGCCAGCAAAATAGTTCGACTGATCCGGTACATTGAGTTAGGAAATCGAACTTTTTATAGATTCAAGTTAATTTGGTGTTGAAATTCTTGAGTGAATCTTCAATAGTTTGGGTAAAGATCTTACAAACTGGTATCAAACCACTTGATGCCATTACATGAGGCAACCAGATTTATTAAATTCTTTAAATCCAAAATTTAAGTACTACAATTTTTTAAAAATGAAATATCAACTTATCAACAAAAAGGGCATCCATATTGTGCGTATAATTGTGTAATACCGAGCTCTTATTTCTTCTGATTACCATGTCCATTTAATTTAATTATATTAATATTATTTTTATTTCGTTTCGAATATCTATGTTGTTACAGTGGAATGTAATTTGAACGTCCTAAACGATCAACTTGAGTAGTAATTCTAAATCGAAGATAAATATAATTTCATTAAATTTATAATACATTGTGTGATATTTTTACTATCTTTAAAATTAGAATTGGAATCAAACATTTGTGGTAATAACCTATTTTCTCTTTTTAATAATAGATTGATTTAAAATTATATTAGTTCGCACCAATTTTAGGGGTGAATTTTCCTTAATGGAGCCAATTAAAAGTTTAGATGGTTGGTTGGGAATGGAATAAGTTACATGATAATGCCGACTAATGAATCCTTTTATAATTTTCAAAATACCACAATCATGGCCCTAAACAATACCGTCCAAAAGGTAAATAAACAAATTTGGACCTAATTTTACTCATTCCTAAAATAAATAAATAAATGAAAGTCAGTATTCATCCCTTCCAAAAAGAAAAAATCTGAGTTTTCCTAATAAAAGTAATAATTAATAAATTAGACACTAATCCATCCAAAGAATAACAAAATATCATTTTTTAGAATCCCAAATAAGTGTATAAACTATACTTCTCACCTAGCTCCTGTTTGGGATCCATTTTAATGTGTTTTGAGGAAAATATATTTTAGAATAATGATTTTTTTGAATAATGTGTGATTAAAAAATGAGAACAAGTTTTGAATTTACTTGTAATATTATTTTAAATGGTGACTTTAAATGGTTTGGTTTGAAGATTTGCCTCAAATCGTCCAAATCAAGCTGTATTCATCCCAATTTGTAGTGGTGTCAAACTATCAATATACCACTCTGCTTGTGCAATACGTTCTAACCATCCATTATTCATTCCATCCAATAACGCGTCACGTCACTAATAAATAAAATCTTGAAAAAACTTCTTGTGATTCATTTCACAACACTACAAAAGTTGATTGTCAATGAATTTGAAGTTTTAATATTTTCTTTCATACAGCCTTTCAAAAGCTTGGTTCAACATATCGGTCATTCAACGTAACATAATTTGAAGTTTTAACATTCTCTTTAATGTAGCCTTTTGAATCAAAATCTTGGTTCAACATATCGGTCATTCAACGTAACCTAATTTGAAGTTTTAACATTCTCTTTAATACAGCCTTTCAAAGTCTTGGTTCAACATATTGGTCATTCAACGTAACCTTTTACATTTGCACTAGTAAAATAATTTAGTTGAAAGCATGTTTCATTAAGTTTTATTTTTAAGTAAAAAAGTTGTCTACAAGAAATTAACTTGTCAAAATAAACAACTTACTTATTTTTGACTAAAAAATTATTAATTTATAAACTTACTTATTTATAAGTGGTTTTAATCTTAGCCAACAAAGTTGAAGATAAAGGAGCAATAGAGAAAATGATAGCAGTCAAATAATGGAGTTGACGATTATAAGAAAAATTGTTATTCCTTTGTTGATTCTTTGTATTGTGCATTTTTCTATAAAGACGGTGAGACTTGACAAACATGGAAAATCTTGTGGACAATACGAGTTTTAGATGACTATTTCAATGTTTGGTAAAGGGGGGAATTTTTATGATAACATAAAATTGTGGAAAGGGTCAAGATTTTGATAAACTCAAAATTAGTAAGATTGACTTAAAGCGACTGGACCATTAAATGCGACTCACTAAAGCCTAAAGTCTTAGGTAAAGATTAGGATAAAAGCTCTTAAAAGTATGTTTAAATGAAATATTTCAATGATTCATTTCATAATAAAACAATAATTGATTGGCAATAGTTTCAACCTCTCTCTTTCATATAGCTTGACAATTTACAGTTATCGAAAATTCGGTCAACTTAACCCCCTTTTAAGTTTACACAAATCACCCTTACAAACCCTATCAAATTTTGCATGTAAAATTTCTACCTTTGCATAGTGCATTTTCTACAAAGATGGGAAAATCTAGAGTAATCCGAGTTTTATGTGAATATTTCAATGCTTCCAAGTCAAAAATTGTTGATGTCTAGTAGTATCGTTGGCAACAGTCAAGGCTAAACTAGATTTAAGCGAATGTTTGTTAATTATAATTGTTTATAAGTTGATTAAACTCTATTTTTATCCACATTTTTTGTACAATTCACATCGTTTAACAAGTTTTAAACACATATTCATTGAGATCCAATGCTTAAAAGCTTAGCCAAGCAATATGTACGATTGATATCAATATACTTAGTAAGTTAGATTACACGTAGAATTGTTAAATTGAAATCCCACTAGTAAACTTAGTTGATTACTAAAACACGTGTTTGCTATAGCAAAACTACTTTGAGACACCAAAATTTAATGGGTTACCAATGTCGAGTTTACTGTAGAAAACACAAAGATAAATATTTCTTTTTTCAAAACTTACATGCAGACTAGGGGCAGAGGTAGTGGGGCGTGGCTGCCTGTCCATATGGAAAATTAAGAATAATTTGTTCAATATTGGCTCAAATATTTGTGTTAACCGAGCTTTATTTTAAATTCTAACCCAAGTTCAATGCTCAATTAATCAAATCTAGTTTAAGATGCTACAATTATTAAATACTATTTTCATGACACTTATGAAATGTGAATATCTTATTTTTAAATTAGGCATTTTATTTAATGCATGTTTGTCAATGTATTTGAAGTTCTTACGCGTCATTTTCCAACACGATTATAATTGATTGTCAATGTATTTGAAGTTTCAACATTTATTTTTCATATAAACTTCCAAAATCATCGTTCGACAAAATTTGTCATTCAACTGAATCTCATTTGTGTTTACACTTGTAAAATAATTTACTCAAAAGCATGTTTGGCTAAGTTTTACTTTTATTAAAAAAGTTATTTACAAGAAATTAGCTTGTCAAAATAAAAAATTCACTTATTTTCAAATAAAATATTATTAGTTTTAAAAGTTATAAGCTTATCCAACAATTTTCAAGAAAAAGGGGCGATTGAGAAAATGATAACAGTCAAATAAAGGAGCTATTTATTTGTTGGGCCTTTTAGATCCCTCTCATTTTTTTATTTTTATTTTTTTATATGAAAATTTTCAACCTTTGCATAGTGCATTTTTTCATAAAGATATGCCTAACAATTAGTCTAAATGTTAGAAACATATTGCCCTTGTTTGAGCTCCATTTTTTTCTAAAAATACATTTTTAATAGTATTTTGACATCATTTCAATCACACATTTTTCAATAAAATAATATTACATGCAAATTCAGAACATTTTCTTATTTTTTAACCACACATTTTCAATCAATATACTATTAAAAAATTCAGTCTTCTAAAAAAAATGAGGCTCAAACAAGGGCATTAATATAGTATTACCGCTAGAAAACTACTTTAGAAATGTTTAACGAACTTCGGTGGTCGTTGATGAAATTAACCCAAAAAAATTAAATTAAACAACTATTATTTGAAAACTCTTTTTTTTTTTACATATTATTTTCAACCACACAATTACATAATAAAATATTTTGCGCGTAAATTAAAAAATTTTCTTATTTTTTAATTATACATTATCCTGATTGTAAAAATCACTATTCTATACATTATTTTTTCCAAATAAAGGTTGTCATACAAGGGTTAAGGGTTTGTTCGAGCCTAATTTATTATGAGGTTGTCATACAAGGGTTAAGGGTTTGATTTTATGAGAATAAATTTTTAATATTGATTTTTTAAAAGAATATTTGACTAAGAAGTATGAAAAAATTAAATTTACATATAGAATTATTTTATTGAAAAATAAAACGTGTTACTAAAAATAAATTAAAAAAAAAGTTTTTAAATAATAGTCTGATTAAGCTCAACCAACATGCATATGTATTCATCCAGTCCATTAAGGCCCGTTACATGTACGGCCCAAATCCATGTCTATCTTGCGGTTGCCACTCTCTCGTAGTCATTTCCTAGATTCTTCTCCGCCTTCTCTATTTTCCTCTGCGTTTACTGCATTCTCTCTTTGAATTGGCCTCTTCAACTAGCTCTTGCAATCAATGGCTGAAGTTGAAGCCTCCAATACCCCTTCCCTGGCTGAGGTAATATCATTTTCATATTCTCATTTAATTTTTACTTTTCTTTATTTTTTTCTTCACTGTATTTTGTAATTTAATGATTCTCCGTGAAATTCTGTTATTTAGCTCCGAGTCTCATGATCTATAGGATTTGTTGTTGCCGGATCAGTTTTATTAAGAAGAGTTTAAATAATATTTTTTTAATTCAAAAATGTAATTGAATATTTTCGAGCTTAAAGAATTAATCGGTAAAAAGGGGCGCATCTTAGATAAATAAATGGATTTATGATGTATGATTAGAGTTTTTTAGTGAATCAAGCACTCTCGTATTAGGTTTGTAACCTGGGCTCTTCAGATACTGGAGCTTTATTAGAACTTTTAACATATTTTAAGCTGGTTTACTTAGGTTCACCAGACGAGCTTGCCGAAAGTATAAGCAGGCTAACACTTAGGTCTTGACTGGGCTCATTTATACCTCATCTGGGTTTTGGCTAAACAAGAACAAGATTGAAGACTTCTCTGGTACAATAGTTAAATTGAAATAATAAAAATCTCCATGGAAGAGGGGATATGCTTTATAAATTCACAAAAGAAACCTATACATACTGGGAGAAGTTCAAATTCCTATCCCTATGCATTCTCTACCACTTATTTCCATGTATAAAACCATGTAAATATATGCATTTCATATGTCAAAAGTTGATGTGAATCGTGGTATAACAAAGTTTTCAACACTTAAGTTGTAGTAGTTATATATTTTCGTTTACCAGATGCAAGAGTCTGAGTTCAGTCCTATAATAGTTGGTATTTGTGCAAATAAAATGAAGCTAAAGTTGTTACTACTGTAAAATATCCCTCTTCATTTATAACATATTGCTGAAATGAGAGTCGTTGTCTTTTACAGATTACAAAGGAACCTTATGCATTATATTGTTAGTTTTCCCTTCTATGGTCTTCTCTCATTTTTTCTTTCTGAATGACATGTTAACTTCTTCTTATGCTTCCCGAGGAATTAATCGTTGTTTAGAATTTACACTAAGTGCAAGTTTGCCATTGATATTAATGTTTAAGATCACTTATTTCTTAAAATTGTATTTTGCATAAATTTTTATTCTGTACTAGTATCTGATATACAACTTTTTCATTATAAATTGGAATCGAGGATATGCAATGTTGTGACAGATAAAACATTATGCTTCAGAAGTTTCATGTAATATTGTCCGCACAGTTCCTTTGCTACTTCTATTAAGGACACTAACCTTATTTCTGTAGCAAATTCTCTAAAAACAGAGATTTTTTAATCACCATTCAGTCTTCTAATAGTAAACTATAGCAGTAAATGGAAGGTTTATAATTCCAAAAGGTGTTATATACTAATTTTAATTTTTAAGTGTACTTCCATCAGTAAAATGTTATGTTTAAATCTAAGAGGCTCATCAAACATGTAAGGTTACAGACTTAATTTTTTGTCAGAAATTATTATTGTTGTACATGTGGCTCATATAAAGTGCAACCCATGTTTACTAGATCAAATTGGCTGATGCGTGGGTATTTTCTTGTACGGCCTTAAAGTCTTGTATGGGTTTATGCTAGGGTTAGTATAAATATTGATGATATAAAACCTATTAATCATACTGAATAAAATATTTTTGGTTCACTCCTTGTGGACGTAGGCATTCTTCAAACCATGTTAAATGCTTGTGATGATTTCTCTCTTTTACTTCTTTATTATTGCGCATAAAATCCAACAATTATTGAAAACTTTGGATCCTTCAGTAGTATCATATGTATCATTCATAAATAGGAAAAGTGGAGTACATATGAAAGGGGACATGGTAGTTATTAAATAACTGGGACTGAATCGTTTCAATGGTTGAGTTCAATCATCTGTTAAGGAAAATTGGTGACAATGTCACTTATAATGTTAAGGGTGTTGGTTTAAATGGAATGAGTCTGTGTGATCAGAGACTTCCTTTTAGATTACAAGGAAAAGTCTTCTACTTTTCAATAAGACAAGTCCTCACAAGACTGAGCATTCAGTGTTGGACTCTATAGAACAACATATACATAAGTTGAATCAATAAACACGTGTTTGTGCAATGTACATTTTCATCTCTTAATCATGCATCGTATTCTTAGAGTTGACAATAATGTTTCCAGAGATGTTGGAACTTGGGCCATTGTTTTGAAAAGAAATTGTGTTATGAGAAAACATTTTTTGTGCAAATGGTGGAAGGAAGTTAATGAAGTTTGAGACGCAATTAAGCTATGAAATTAGTTTAAGTTATTCAAATTATTCACCTTTCATTATTCAGTTTGATCTCCATCTGGCCCTAGAAAGCATGACTCGCTTTTTTTTAATTTACTTAATTCTTCTAGAATTCCTACGTGACACCAAAAGGCGACACTTTATACTGGAGAGGATCTTCCATAAATCTAGTCGGCATAAGTTTTATCTATTACTTTGATGGCATTACAAGTCATGTAGCAGATTGTTGAAAACTAATATTGGGCCTAATGACTTCAATTATATGTGAATATTTTTGTTTTCTTCGGTGCTAATGATTACTGAAGAGCTGCAAAGATGAGAACATTGAAAAATCTAACTTGTCAAGAGAAGAGCTTTAAAAAATTATAAAATTAAGAATAAAATTTTCTCTTCATTTCTGGTTTGAATTCATTTTCGCTGTTTTCGCGTTACTGATTATAGCATAACAATTTGGTTCTTTGATGAATAGCAATATTTACTGAAGGATAATGGGGAAAAATCAGAAATTGCTGCAAAATCTGTGGGAGAAACTGGGGATAAATCCTCAGTAAATGCTGTTGCCAAGGAAGTTGTTGCGGAAACTGAGGAAACCCCAGTTTCTGTTGACAATGAAGTTTCCTCTGCTGCTTCTCAGGAGAGTGCCAACGACTCTGATGGTGCTGCTGGAGAAAGCAATGAAACCAGTCCTGTTGATGAAGCCACTGGTGAGGTCAATCCAGCTGCCAGTGAAGAAAGCACTGACAGTGCTGAACCCGAGGATGCAGGTGAGCAAGAAGCTGAAGAGACTCCAGAGATCAAGGTTAGTTTGACTACGACCTCAATTGCAATCCTTTTTAATGATCGTGACCTACTTGATGTGTTTACTTTGTTGATTTACACATTTTGTTGCTCTTCTACTTGGGTTACCAGCTTGAAACAGCACCAGCTGACTATCGTTTCCCTACGACAAATCAAACCAGGCACTGCTTCACTCGATATATTGAATACCACAGGTAGGTTAGACTAGTTATGATGATACCTTATTTTAGCAATTTATGGTCAATTGTGTCTTTGCCTTCTTTACTAAATGCTTGTCTTTTCAGATGTGTTGCTGCAAAGGGTGAAGATGCTCCCGAATGTAACAAGTTTGCTAAATATTACCGTTCCATTTGTCCGAGTGAATGGGTATGTTGCATCTATTACATTGCTAAGAAAACAGATTTTCTATTTTCCTTATTTGAATGCATAATCCAGGGGAAAGTGAAGTAAGGGGAAGGATGTGTATTGGATCTTAGTGGTACAAATCGCTCTGTATAATTGATTAATAAGGAGAATGGATCACTTGCAATGACTTGATAACATGTTTATATGCGAGCAAGGGGTATGCTATAGTGCCAGTCATGTTTAACCAACTTGTTGGAAGTTTTGGCCACCTTTAATTCCTATAGGACCTATATTTTGCTGGAAATTTTTTTATTGTAGAAGTTTTAATATTGGTTTTCTATATCCTCTTCAATAGGAAATCTTCATTTTCTTGGAGTGCTAATTTTTTTCTTGTTACACCCTAATTATTGCAGTTAGTGACTTAGTGTGCTTGCTTTCTTTTTCAGTTTCTTCCTGCAATTTTTTCTTCTAATTTTCGTCTCTTTTAAGAGTTCTTGTGGCTTGTCCAATTCGCAGGCTGCTGTTGTTTCTTCTTCTTCTTTTACATCGTTTTTCTGGCTTCCACAATCATTTCTGTCCTCGTAGATAGACTGATGCGACATCATCTTTGCTTGCTTCCTACTTTTGGCTTCGCCTGTTTCATTTTTTTCAACTTCTGAAAAGCTACTAGCTTGGTACTGCCTTTTCCTTTATATTGCTGCCTTTTATTTCATCATCATTCTTCAGGAGCTTCTCATTTTGAATTTAGATTTGTAATCATAATTTGATTTCGTTGTCCTCTTTTATAAATTTTGAGGTAAGATCGACATTCTTATAAGTAATTAATACTTCATTTTATCAATAGACAATGTTGGGGTCAAAGCCAACCCCGCCCCCATCCGTCCCTCCTCCCTCCCTATACTATATTCGAATGAAGGCAGGTGGAGACTTGCTCCTTATGAAAAATAGATTTAATCACCGATAATACAATTCAATTCAGTACACTAGTCCCTGTTTGAAGGGGGGAGGGTGGGGGGACAATGTTGGGGTCAAAGCCAACCCCACCCCATCCGTCCCTCCTCCCTCTCTCTACTATATTCGAATGAAGGCAGGTGGAGACTTGCTCCTTATGAAAATTAGATTTAATCACTGATAATACAATTCAATTCAGTACACTAGTGCTTGTTTGAAGAGGGGAGGGGGGTGGAGTTTTCAAATAGTAATTTTTAAAGAATGTGCAATTAATAAGATTAATGGAGCCCAAACATTGCCCAGGGCTCGATTTCACTAGAGGACATGAAGTCCTCCATCTAATGGCTATCGTTCGTAGTGCCCCTTGAAAATATCCTAAATCCCCTCCACTCCTCACATTTCAAAACCACCAAAGCCCCTTCACACTTTTCCCCTCAGATCTAATTCACATTCTTCCTTCCCCCTGCATTTCCTTTTTATTCCAGAAATCCGGATCACCAACCATCATGGCGGCGACGGCGCGTGAAGAGAACGTATACAAGGCAAAACTGGCCGAGCAGGCGGAGCGGTACGAGGAAATGGTGGAGTTCATGGAGAAAGTATCAGAGTCTTTGACGGAGAACGAGGAGCTGACTGTGGAGGAGAGGAATCTTCTGTCAGTGGCGTACAAGAACGTGATAGGAGCGAGGAGGGCGTCATGGCGGATCATATCGTCTATAGAGCAGAAGGAGGAATCGAGGGGGAATGAGGACCATGTCAGCACAATCAAGGATTACAGATCTAAGATTGAATCGGAGCTTTCCAATATTTGCGATGGAATTCTAAAGCTGCTTGAATCTAAGCTCATCGTCTCGGCATCTTCGGGTGATTCGAAGGTGTTCTACATCAAAATGAAGGGGGATTATCATCGGTATTTGGCTGAGTTCAAAACTGGTGCTGAAAGAAAAGAGGCTGCTGAGAGCACCCTCACAGCCTACAAGGCTGCTCAGGTCTGTTTACGGTACATATTTATGGAAATCAGATGCAATTTTTCAAATTTTTGCTAATTTTGTTTTCACTAGTCAATGTTGAGTTGCACTTTATAATGAAATAATTTATAACTGCCAAAGTAATATTTGAATATGTATGAATCTTAAATAATTTAGAATTAATTTCAAGGAATATATGACAATGAATGTATCATTTATTTAGAGTCCGTTTGGTACATATTAATGTAAAAATGAGAATGAACAATATAGCCATTATGGCCCCACACAAGAGATAGTGATTCAAATTTGGTGGTTTGATGTGATGGATAACGGTCATATTTTTCATTTTAATGAAGAAAAAATGGAAAACAAATGGGTGCTTAGCCTCCACTTGGCTCCCATTAATTTTAATTCCATTATATTTCATTTTTGTCTCTCCAATTTTCAATCACATAATCTTCTATAAATTAATATTACACGTAAATTGAAAATTTTTCCTTTTTTTTTTCAACCACTCATTTAAAAAAAAATAAAAAATTCCATCCATTTTCATTTATACAAAATGGGTCTAGACGGGGGGCTTAATTTCTAATTAAGTAAAATTGGATGTTAGCATATATTGACGTGAATTATGAAATGCATTCTTAAATTTTAAATTCTAATTAACTTATAATTAATGACATTGAAATCAATAAATGAAAATGAATATTAATTAAATAAATGTGAATGTTAATTAATTGAGAATTAATAATTCATATACCAATAAAAGTAAACAGGTGAAATGAATCTTTCAAATGTACATTTACATTGATGATAACTAAATAATTAAATAAATTACATACATATTGAAAAACGAAAAGTAAAGTATTATTAAAATAATTGAATTATAATAAGACTAAAGTCATCTAAAAAATGATTCTCATTTCATGTGATACTTAATATATTATAGGTTTTATTGAATCTTGAGATTGACTTGTGATAAATTTAACAGTTTATTACCAAAAATCTATATTTTTCAGAAAAATAATGTTTACCTATTTTGTATTTACTAATTAATGTTGAAAGAGTATTGCACATTATTCTGTAATGCTTTATAAGTACAATGAAAGTAATATTTAACCACATATTCACCATTTTGATCTAAATATGATAGAAATGTGAACATCTGTAAATAAAAGGCTCATTATTATACATGCAAGTAAATAGTAAAATACACTTAAATGTGAGTATTAGAATTACAATTAAATGTATAAATGAAGATGAATGGCAAATACGATACATGAATTAATGTGAATGTTAGTTAATTTAGAACTAATACCAAGGAATACGTACGTGAAAATGAATGTCAAATCATTTATACTAAATGAATATAATTTAATTTTCAATTTAGTGAAAATGAATGTTAATTAACATACATGAACGTGAATAATGAACTGCACTCTTGAATGTAAAATTCTAATTAATATTAATTATATGAATGTGGATATTAATTAATTGAGAATTAATAATAGGGACATAGACCGAAATACTAATTAAATGAATGTGAATACTAATTAAATGAATGTGAATGTTAATTAATAGAGAATTTAATATAGGGAATACGTGCATGAAAAAGAATATTGTAGTATTTATTACAGTTTATATATTAAATACATATTGAAAAACGAAAAGTTAGGTATTATTGAAATAATTGAATTGCAGTGGGACTATAATCATCCAAAAAGTGATTCTCACTTGATGTGATATTTAATAGATATATGTTCATTTGGTGCTATACATACATTTCATCCTAAAATCAATATTTATGGACTGTTTTCCAGGAATTAACCATCAACCCTTTCAATGACATTATAGATTTCCTTTGTATATTATGTATGTTAATTGGTGAATGGATAATTACCCATTCGCAATTACTTGAAGCCTCTAATGTTTTTTTCCCCATCTCCTGGCAAACATATTGGTTTTTATGTTTAAGTCTTAACCTTCTAAAATCTATATATCCGATGCCTGCTACTCATCTGTACACCAAATTTGATTATAAATCCCATTTTACCTTAAAGAAAATGATTTTTTTTTTTTGTATATATATATATATATATATATATATATATATATTTTGGGGTATGTGATACTGTGTAAGGCACTAAGGTAGATCTAATGGACGGATGAAAAAGGATTCATGGAAGTGGCTTCAAATTTATTGGATTGAAAGTTTACTGTAATGTTGTATTTACCTTTGGGGTAAGTTGTTTGTGTAGATAAAGCACGAGGTGTTGGGACAAAAAGAAATCTATAAATTGCTTAAAGATTTGTCAGCCATTTGTTGTACGCAAATTTACGGAAACTTAACGTTTTAAAATTTGTTGTCATCCTTGGTACTTCAAGATTCTCCTGCCCAATCTAATACTGTAGTATGTTGTCTTAGATAGGGATTCCTTACGTTGATTAATCTGCATATGGTGCTTAATTATTAAAATTTTGTCTGGTAATTCTTGTGTATAAACGAGCTAACGAGTTTCTTATTTTTTATTTTTTTACAGAGTATGTAGAGATATGCTTATCATCTTAATTTCCATGTTTAAAATGAGTTTGTGCTTCTTGCCTTTTCAGGACATTGCCAATGCAGAACTTGCGCCGACCCATCCAATTCGACTTGGACTGGCTCTGAACTTCTCTGTGTTTTACTATGAGATTTTGAACTCTCCTGACCGTGCTTGTAATCTTGCGAAACAGGTAAGTCTACACCTATATCCTTTGTTTAGAACTTCATGAATTAGAGCTTTCCTCGCCATGCTTAAAAGTTACTAGACTTGCTTACTGGAAAATTAAATTTTATAACTTGAAGAAAAAAGTAAGTTCTGTCTCATTGTGGAAGCTTTGGTTCATGGGTTCACCTTTCCGTTTTAGACTTCATCGTGATCAGTTTTATGATGCTAGTTTCTTCCCTACTTTGGCCAGGCCTTTGATGAAGCAATTGCCGAGTTGGATACACTAGGCGAGGAGTCCTACAAAGACAGCACTTTGATTATGCAACTTCTTCGTGATAACCTCACTCTATGGACCTCTGATATGCAGGTATTCATTTATGTAGGACTCAGTGTTACATGCATGTCAACATTTCTTTCGATTTATAAACTATCAGCGCATTTTTTTATATGTAGTACTTGATATGACCAAACTGTAACCATTGTTGCTATCCAACCAGCCTTACCAAACAACTATGGTTTCACATGCTACAAACTTCTCATTTGGCATTTTGTTTTCTTTTCTATGGTATTTGATTTATCTCTATATGGGTTCTGCTACAGGAGGATGGAGCTGATGAGATAAAAGATGCTCCAAATCACGATGATGACCCACAACAGTAAGGGTATTCGTCCTTGAAGGAGATTTTCACTTTCTATTGGTTGCTTTTATTTGGGGAAGCTGATTTTATTCCTTTCCCTGCTATTCTGGATTTTATTCTTAGAAAAGTTCTTTGTTACTGAATTGTGCTTGATTGATATAAATGGCTCTCCCTTGCAGCCTCTTTTAATTGTAATAATTTGAAGTGAATAGTTACTTAAATCGATAATAGCACCATGATTCTTTTATACTCGGTGCATTCACGTTAACAAGTGTACATATTTTAGGGTAGAACCAGCATTGGACATTTATTTAAAAAAAGAAAAAAAGAAAAAAAAAATTACAACAACAACAACAATTAAACAAAACAAAAATTGATGATGGTCATAAACTTCCTTCATCTAACACCACTCCACTCCACTCCACCACCAAATCGCAACCTCAAATCCACAATCCACACCCTTTCGTCCACAAAAGGGCCACCCATATCTGCAAAGTTAGTGCTGACCAACACCCAGACACCATTTTGCTAGCAATGGAAAGCATGATTCATCTAAGTTAGGGTTGAATGTTAAAGATGAAGAGTAAAAAAGGGATGGCAAAGTCGATTCAGCTGATTATATCACGAGTTAGCGATTGAAGGATTGATAGTAACTGGAATTTGGGGAATGCTAAGGCTTTACAGACTAGAGCTCCCGCCATTGTCAGCATCGTCAATGGTTCCTTCATAACGACAACAATCATGACCTTGGTGGATTGACGATGATGTTTGATAGATTGGAGGTGGTGGAGTTGGTGGGGGTTGTAGCCTGTAGGGGAGGTGATTCTGCCTCTGGCAATTGGTGGTGAATAATAAAAAGAATTTTAAAAAAAAAAAAAAAAAAAAAAAATCTTAAATTCTGATTTTTAAAATGACAGTGTGGTTTTGAGAGATGGGGGTAAATTTGGGAAGAGTTGAATTAAGTGATAGGATGAGATGGTAGAAGATAACTGGAAGGTAGGATGCAATATATAACTGATTTTGAAAAAAAATAAAAAAAATCTTAAATTCTGATTTTTAAAATGAAATTTTTTCCACGAATGCATCTCCCTTTATAAAAAGAAACGACTTTGCTATATGTACATCGATCCCCCTCACATGGGGACGAGTCCAAGCATTAAATGGGCTTGGACCTCTCCCCTCAGGGGCGGAGCTAAGAATATTTTTCGACACGGGCATAATAAAGCCGAACTTTGAATTTTTGACTATGAATTTAATAATGATAAAAATATAAAACAATACTACCGCAAACTAAAAATGATATAGCATTGTTCTATGAAAAAATGTCATCAAGAAAGCTCAATATAGGCCAATTACCTTGCAGTTCAATTCACATCATCCAATTACTTAAAGCAATTCAATTCACGTATCACAAATACTGGAAGCAAAAATAGAGCTATTCGCTAAGCAATTCACGGACACAGTGGTAATAATACTGGAAGCAAAAGCAATTCACATTTCACAGAGCAATGAATTCACTGAGCTAACTCCATATACAATACAAAACAAATACATGATTATGATGATTTTACCAAAATAAATAAATAAATCACTAGTCTGCTGCTAAAGAATTGAAATTGAAATCAAAATCACCTTCTTCGGTTCTTCTGGGCTCTGGCTTCTTCTTCTTTCGTTGGGCTGGCTGGAACTGGAAGAAACAATAGCCGGTTCTGCAATTCAGGTGGTGGTGACGGTTGGCGGTTAAAGTTGCGGTGGGGGATTGGGAATGCTAGAGTCAGGGGCCAGAGATTTGAGCCCCTAATTTAGGAGATGCCTGTAGACAATGGATTGGAATTGGAAGTCGGCGAGTCGCGAGAAGGGAAGCGAGAGTTGAGAGAGGCGATTCATATGAGGGAGCAAGGGTTTGGTCTTGATTTCAGTTGAAATGAAGAGCTTGATTGAATGAAAACGGGTTAATTGAATTATGATTTCGGGTCTACGTCAGTAAACGGGTCATGGGCTGTAGGCAATTGAGCTTCTATTTGGGTTGGAGACTTGAACAAGGCTAAACAAAATTTATATTAAAAAATTAATAAAAATTTGGGTCTACTAGAGCCCAAAAGTTCAGATGCCCGTATTGGACTTAATGGGATTCCGCCCCTGCCTCCCCTCGTGTGAGGGGAGTGTGTGTAGAAGGGTTTGCCTTTCATTCCAATCTTTCAAGCCTTGAAATATGGCCAAAACTCAAGTGTTAAACTCGACGCGGGTTTCAATCTTTAACATCTGTCAAATCTCAAATTATGAACGAGAACGCGTCCAATATTATTGAAGAATCTTCCGATCCATTTTCGTTGGGAGTCAAGATGCTATCAATTTCCGTCCATCACGTTGGGTGTAGACATTTTGTTAAAATCTATTCCCATATAGTTGGCAAATAGATAATAAAAAGAAACTTCTTCCAACATTAAATTTCCCATTTGACTATCATTAAAATAAAACTTTCTTTTCCTCAAACTTATTTTTAATTAGACATTTTTACAAAAATTATTTTGCACATAAATTGAAATTTTTTCCTTCTTTTAATCACATATCTTTCAAAAAATTACTATTTTAAAATTCATCTTTTTTAAAAGAAACTATTTTTAGAGGGTGTTTGACACCCATTTTTATAGAGAAAAATGAATTTTAGAATAGTAAATTAACGGAGAATGTGTGGATGAAAAATAACGAAAACTTTTTTATTTATATATAATATTATATTAATAAAAAAATATGTCATTAAAAAGAAAAAAAATATATATTTTGATAAAAATGAAAATCAAATGTGCTTAATAATTGTCTAAGGAGGGCTAAAGTCGAGAGCAAGAGGGCCATCATTTGTACTGTAATCATCATTCAACATGCCAATCACAACGGTCACTAAAAATTTCCCAACGTTCAAATTCCCCAGATTAACATTAACCTAAAAGTAACAATCACACGCGTACGGCTTGGATCAATTTCGGTTATTCGTCAAATGGTTAACACGTTGAGTTATCTACTTTTCTCTGTTGCTGAGTTGTCTATCAATGAGCAGAGACAATTTTAACCCCATAAATAATTTTTTGTTTCTCTCTCATTGAAGATCCCTCTCTCTCTCTATATCTCTGTGTATATATAAGTCTCCTTCTCCAGTTATCTTCCAGTACTAGAGCCTCTCTCTCCATAATTAGCATTTCTACAGTTATATACTGTTCTCTCTCTATTTAGCAAAATTCCAAGTATTAAGGGACAAAATGGCTTACTGTAAATCAATGGTGGCTTTGGTTTTTGCATTGTTGGCTGCAATAGCTTTAGCTCAGGCTCCAGCCGCCACGCCAAAGGCATCTCCGGCAGCGGCTCCCGTTGCGTCTCCACCACAGGGAGGTGCTATTCCAACTCCGGCACCAGCCTCAGCTCCTACAAGTTCATCACCCTCTGAATCTCCATTGCCTTCTCCTCCTGCGCCTCCCACTCCTGGTGCACCCACCGCTACTCCTCCATCTATCGCCTCCGCACCCGGTGGCGCCGCTCCTAACTCCTCACCCAACGCCGCTGCTTTTAACAGAGTATCGATTGCTGGATCTGCAGCTGCAGTGTTGTTCTTTGCTGCTTTTTTGCTCTAGACCTACTGATCTAGTTCGAAATATTCACTTTTCCGGCAAGCATGAAGATTAGGGTTTTGTTACTGTTTGATTATTTAGTTTTACTTTTTGTGTGCTCTATTTTTTAAATATTCTTTTTTATTTGAGTTTTGCGCTTTTGTTCATTAAATCCATTGGCTTGTTACACTTTACACATTGTAGAGATCTCTGTCTGTTGTGCTTAAAAATAAATTAATGTCTATTGCTGGAAAAGTGTTCTATTTTAAAAGTTTTGGATTAAATTGCTAATTGAGAAATGTAAGAGGGATCAATCATGCAACATTTTGAATTATGATTCTATTATTAGCAGCTTGTATTGCGGGGAAACAGATATCACGTGACGTGACAGCTGTTTTGGAATTCCATGTGCTCCAGCGCAAAAGCTGCTGTGCAACAAAATAAAGTGTACTTTCCTTCTCGAGGATTGGCGGATCTATAACAATTATTTTGTTAAAACTATCATATATAATTTTGTTATATGTATTGACAATATTCACCAAATGATAAGATTGTATATATGCCCTTTTCACATACATATATTTTGCATGTTGTGTTCCCGCGTCGCTTATGGAGGTGCTTCTCAAGGAAGTAGTCAGTGACGGATCTGAGATTTTGAGTGAGCACGGACAACTATCAACGATCGGTTGCAATAAAACAATAAAAATTAAATATAATAATTATTTTGTTAAAACTAACATATATAATTCTGTTATATGGATAAACAAATATTAACTGAGTGACATAGTAGTTAAGTTTTGTATAATTCAAAGAAAGAGAGATCACATGTTCGAATCTCCTTTCTATTTGCATTAGTTTTGATAAAAATTGTAAAACTAGAAAAGTTGTACAATAAATTGGTTTGGAAGAGATTCAATCCCAAAACTTCCAATTTGTAAATGGAAACTCTAACCAAGTGAGCTTCAATAGATTTTAAAAAATAAAATAAATTATCAGACATATAATCTAAAACTTTTATCTATTGTCAACAAAAAAATTTGTTCCTGACGAATTCAGCATGCGAGGCCGTTGGTGCTAATTGGGTGCTAAATCCACCATTGGAAGTAGTAGAGAAATTGAAAATGAAATTTGAATCTGATTTTGAATTTCTTAAGTAACGCCCTTAAGTGCATTTTTTTTTTTTTTTTTTTTTTTTTGAATTTTTTTTAAAATATTTTAATTTAATACAGAAGCCCCTTGCTTCGCCTTTCTAACTGTAGATAAAGAATTTTATTTATAACCAAAGAATTAGGTCAAATTTCATGACCCAATTACTTCTTAAAAAATTGTTGAATCAAATTAGAAAACCAAACTTTTGCTGGACGAAATACCCAAGCGATCACGTGGTATGAACATTGTGATCGCATGGTACAAGAATTTGAGCAGCTGTAAAACAGCATACAATTGCTGCGATTGTAGCTTTTTTAGTTTTGAAGTATTTATCAAATAATTTCAATTCAATAGAACATTTCCCTAAAAATTATTTTTCAATTCGAATGGAAAGGTTAGTAATTTTGAATTTAATGGAAAAAATAATTAAGAATACCATATATGTTACCTATGCTTGTTTGACTGTTGTTGCTTTCTAATCTAACTCATAAAAAAGGCAAAATGGAAATGGGATGCCCTGATTCGAAGTCCTTTGAGGTAGGAACTGTATATTCAAAGGGGTTTAATTTAAATTTTTGTAAATAAAATTATGATGCGTATCGAGATTTGAATGTATAAATATATAGTGACAAGTGATAACATGATAAAGTTGTAATAGTAACAATTTAAAATACAACCATGCTAATCTGCTCATGTGAGGGCTTAGTGGATGACGTCGATTCTAGCAAATCCGTAACAATTATCCCATCTAAAATTGGAGATCACATAGCTCCTGCTTGATGGTTATTATTTCGGGAAAAACAATATTTTGAATACTGGTTTTGAGGAAAATGTGTGGTTGAAAGTTAGGAGTTTTTTTCAAATTTACGTACAGAATATTTTATTGTGTGAACATGTGATTTAAAATGAATATGTAAAGAAAAAGGCAGTGGCATAATGTTTCTAGAGTAAAATTTAATCTCAAGTGATTTCCTTTAATCTTGATTATCATTTGATGTATTTGTTATATGTATTGCTTATGATCGATTTTGTAGTTACTAGTCGGTGGAGAATGTACAAACTGATTGTTGAGACCTGCTCGAAAATTTACCATTTTATATATCTCCCCATACACAAACCAAAATTATTACCTTTCTTGATTATTATTCCAAAGCTCATGACTGTCCAACAAAGTTTTGATTTCAGACCATGCAATTTTCATTTTTGTATTTTCAAGATATAACACATTTTTCCCCAAAAATTAAAATAACAAACCAAAGTGGGATTCAATTCCCACCATTTTTCCTACTGTTCTCTTTATTCTTTCATTTTCTTCCCTTAACAACTATTTCACTAGATTTACTTCAGCAAAAATGCTAGCTGCTATGGTGATTGCAGGAGTACAAGTGGCTATTTGTATTTTCATGGTCCTCCTCCAATTAAAAGGTTCTCTCAATAAAGTGTAAAATTTGAGTATGATGGTCTTGCAAACATTTAAAAGTGAAGTGGCTTGAATTGAGTCTCTGCTTAATGAACTACATTTTCAACTACTAGCACTATGATTACTCTCGTGTGACAATATAAGAGCTAATACTTAACTATCAATCCTATTTTACATTCTCCAAAAAACCATATGAAAATTGTTTGTCATTTTGTTTGAGAGAGGGTCCTTCAACAATGAGACACATTCCATCTGAAGAACAATTGGTTGATATTATGACAAAGGCCTTGCCAACTCGATTGTTTCTTGACCTGAGAACCAAGCTCAAGATGTTGCCCAACTTGTGATATTGAGGGAGGACGTTAGAAAGAATTCATTAGGGTTTACCAACATTTTCTATATTTTTATATCTATTTATTTTATTTATCAAGAGAAAGAAGTATAAACATTTTTAATCGATTATACTTAATTTTGATATCAATTTTTTGTATATGAAAATACATCTAAAACTCTATATAGTTTACCTTTTCTTTTATTAGGAAATTATAAATTAAGAGAATATATATTCTTTCGGCTTACTGGCGCAAAATCCCCCGTTGTCGAATATCTCTCTATTCTTTCATTTTGGCAATAAAATCCTCCTATATGACCTTTGATGTGCAGAAGACTTTATTTTCTTTCGCTTTCTCGATAAAATCTTGTAAAATGATTAATATAATCTCATATTTAAATAAAATAAACAGAAATAATAAAGAAATAATTTCAACCATTGTCTCAAAATTTTCAAAAAAGTGCAAACGAATAAATAATAAAAAATAAAAGATTGAAAAAAACCTTCTTCTTTTCAATCTTCCCTATCTCCTACCACCACCTTGTTTCTCCCATCTCTCTCTCTAATAAATTAATTTTTTTCTACCTTAAAGAACTGGACAATACCTGTTTGAATTTGGTTTAAAGATTGAAAGATTTGGTTAAGTATAAACTTGAAAAGTGATTTTGTGTCAATTTCCAATCAAATATTCAAACTGGATTCAATAGTCAAATTATAAAAATAAATAAACTAACTTGTTATTCTCGTCGAGTAAATCATCGTAGTATATTTGGAATTTCAAAATTAATTCTGGATGAAATAGAAATTATAGTCCAAAATTAGTAGGAAAAACGAGGAGAGGAAGAGGGGGAAATCATATAGCATTGCAGCTCAGGTGGCAGGCTAGCGCTAAGTGAGCGGCAAGTTAATGACAAGTGGGCGTAAAGTTTCAATTGAATATATGTCTCTAGCGCTCGAGCGAAAGACAGCGACAAGCTAGTTACAACAAGAAATGAGTCCCTTTTTTAAGGTTGCTAAATTTTGTGGCTTGTTTCTTCACTCACAACATTCCTTGTTTATATATAGGACCATTTGGATATCCATTATGATCATATATTATTTGCATTGAGCATTATATCAAAATCTCTTACAAAAACTTTCCAAAAATCATTCCATAATTATTTTCTTGTAGAGAGAAAAAATTCTTTCGAATTCGCTATTGCTTGTGGTTTGAAGTACTTTTATCACAAGTTTCACCCATTGTATCTTGAAAAATAAATGCCATAATTCGTTAGCACCATTTCAGGACAATTTTGTCTTAATAAAAACATGTTAATAGCTTGTCTCAGATTTCTTTTTCAAATGGAAGAAGGCAATAGAAAAATTAAAAAAAAAAGTCTATTTTACATTTTGAAGCAAACTTTGTTGAAACTGGTTGTCATCAAGAAGCGTAAGATCTCCAGTGATGCATCGAGAAAGGACACCTCTAAGAATGCCAAAAAGTTTAAAGGCAACCGTTACAATTGTGAAAAAGTTGAACATCATTCAAACGGATGTTGAAAGCTGAAGAAGACTACTCAAGCAAACATGGTTGAAAGAGATACCCTATTTGAAGGGGTTCAGGAAATGAGTCTATCCGAGATTGTTTTTGAACGCAACACAGATGGTAATCCAATGAATTGGGGGGTCAACACTGGTATTACCAATCATATTTGTGCAGATAAGACTGTGTTATCAAACTATCATAAATTGAGAGGAGAACAATTGTTTATGGGAAATTTTGCAAGTTCGAAGGTTGAAGGACTTGGGAATTTCACATTGAAAATGACTTCTGGGAAAGAACTAGTCCTCAATAATGTTCTCATGTGCTTGACATTCGCAAAAACCTAGTTTTGGGATCTCTACTTGGCAAGATTGACTTTAAACTTGTATTTATATCGGACAAGTTTTTACTTACCAAAAATGATATGTATGTTGGTAAGTGTTATCTTAGTGAATAAATGTTCAAAATGAACATCCTAACAATTGTACTAAAAAACATTATGAATAAATATTCTATTCATCTTATATGCTTAAGTTGGCTTGTTTATGGTATAATCTATTAGGACACATTAACTACAAATCTATGCGCGAACTTATGAATTAAAGTTTAACTTCGGCGTTTAAGATTGATCTTAATCATCAATGTAAAGTATATGTTGAAACAAGATTGGCCAAGACACATTTTCACTCTATTCAAAGGAACACGATACCTTTAGAGTTAACATATAGCAATATATGTGATTTGAAATTGGTCAAACTAAAAGTGGTAAGTAATACTTTATAACTTTCATCGATAATTATACAAAGTATTGTTATGTCATTCTACTACGAAGTAAAGACGGAGCCTTAGATATATTTAAGCATTATAAGATGGAAGTTGAGAATCAACTTTGGTAAATGAATAAAGAATATTCGTAGTGATAG